TCTCTCTCTCTCTCTCTCTCTCTCTCTCTGTGTGTGTGTGACTATCAGGGTTCTCCTTCAGAATCTGGTGGCCTGGCCCAGCAGGAAGGGAGTTGATCCAGGAGCAGGTGGAGTTTCCAGGTTGCCGCCCTCAGCTCAGGGCAGGGGAAGCCTTCTGAACAGAGCATCTGTGACAGGATGAATCATGACAGCTGGTCCATGGAGCCAGGACTCCTTCCCACTGAGGGACTCCTTTCCATTGTAGTGTTCAAGGAGAACCAGCCTGGTGCTTATGGAGAACATTCTAAAAAACACCCCATTCTGCTACTTCTAAGAGATGGTAGCAGATGGCTTCTAGAGCCTGGTGCCAATACCCTTGAGGTTTCTGATTGTGGTTGTTTAGAATCCTACCCTTTGATGCCAGTGAGTCTGATGCCAGTGAGTCTTCTTTTCAGGGCTGCCCAGACTTCTGCTGACCAGACACCTGTTCTGTGGAACTGGGAAGCATTTGCATTTCAGACCACTGAGGTCTGGAACTGTCTTGGGCTCTGAACTCCACTCCTCTTCTAACATAGACTTATTGTACACAGGATTTTGCTTTGGGGTCTGGGGTTCTGTACTGTGTGTCCCCACACAGACTAGCATGTGTCACAGATCTGAGCAGGGCTTGGTCCTGAATCAGTCTGTTCCCGCTGTTTCCTGAGTGAGGATGAGTAAAGTATACATAGCCATGTCTTGGCCTTCTCCCTCTCCTCCAGTAGAGCTTGGTGCTTTCTCCTGTGGAAGGTGGGAGATCTTAAAATTGGTGCTGGTGCTGTGGGAAGGGCTCCAGATGTTCTTTGGTTGGGCTCCTTCTGGGTAGGTGCAGGGGCAAGTGCATGTTCCTCTCTGCAGGACCTGTGTGAGCGGCATGAGAAGGGAGTGTTACACAAGCACCAGCGCGCACTGCACAAGTATGGACTGATGAAGAGGCAGATGATGAGTGCTGCCGTGCAGAACTGCGAGCCCGAGTCTGTGGAGCAGCTCGAGTCCCGCATTGTGGAGGTAGGGATGAGAGAGGGTGGGACCCCAAGGACGTGCTTGCCTCTTGTGCACTAAGCCATGGCCCTGGCCCTGGCCCTTGATTTCCTGCAGTTTTGCTGTGGTGGCTACACAAAGACAGCTGAGCCTGGGTTGAGGCAGGTGATGCATATAGGCTTTGGGGCTCCTCTTTCCGGCATCTGCTGGGCCAGGAACACAGGGGCTCTTTTGCTTGCAGCAGGAGAATGTGATCCAGACCATGGAGCTTCGCAACTACTTCTCCCTGTACTGCCTGCATCAGGAGACACAGCTGGTCCACGTGTACCTTCCCCTCACCTCCCATATCCTTGGGGCCTTTGTGAACTCACAGATCCAGGGGCACAAGGAGGTAAGGCCCACCCTGCCCCTGCCCACCTGTGCCAGTGCCCTCCTGTTGCCATCTGCCCTTCCCCAGTCCTGCAGCCCTGACAGCCAGAGATCTTGGAAAGTTCTTTTCTTTTCTTTTCTTTTCTTTTCTTTTCTTTTCTTTTCTTTTCTTTTCTTTTCTTTTCTTTTCTTTTCTTTTCTTTTCTT